TTTTCTTGGTGATTTGGAAGAGTTGGTATGCGATTGATTATTTTCGGACGTATTGCTTTGGTGTTGGGATTTTTTATTTTCGTTTTCTTGGTTTTGATTGTGTTTTGGGATGAAGTGGTATGAAAGGATAACTTTGATATTTTGCCGGAGCATGACGATGCATACCACCAGCAGGGGGGCTATTCGATATACAAATAAGCATAGTATGATGGTTGAGATGTTATGTACGTACGTACGAATATTGCCGTGATGAGATGCGGCGGAACAGGAACTTTCTACATATTTTCCTTGGTTGTGAGAGGNAGCACGCCCCCGATTAATACAACACGGATACAACACGTTTTTCAACACGTCTGCACGACGTTACCTACCCCTACGGCCCGTAATGGCCGAGCTGCTCTGCACTCCCATCGCACACAACTGAGCCACCCGAATAATCGATCACGGGGGGTGTCGTACTACTGTATGTTTAAGATGAAGAATAACACAGGTTCCACATACCTTGATGGACATTGACCATGCGTTGCAAGCATCGTTGAAGACACAGAGCGGAATGCTCGCGAAGACGAGGTTTTTCGTGTTGTACCGGAATCCCTTCTTTCGGATGCCAAACAGGGGCTCATCACCGGTGCCTTCCCTTGCCGACGGAGCTGACGACTCCACGAAGGGAGGCGGGCTCCGAAAACTGTCTCCTTGCCTTATTCGTTTCTGCCGCTTCACGACAAAGCCCTCCCCTACGAAAGCATCCCAATCAGCCCAACGAACGCCCCCTTCCCACTCATCTTCGAGATGCATGGATCTGGACACCTCTTCGCGCGTGTATATTTCGCAGAGGTCCTGGATCGTCGTGCTGTGCAAGATAACCTTGGAACTCGTGCCTTTCTCCTCCCACACACGTACAAGTCTCTCAATTCTCTCACCACCTTCTACGTCGCAAACCTCATTCCGAGTCCGGAAACGTCGGACGGCAACCAACAACGTATCCTGCTCCATATCACAATACCATTCCGGCAGCCTTACTGGAACCGTGTTTCCGTCGCTCATGGTTACCATGACAATGTCGTTCACGTAAACCTTGCGGTTGCTGGTCCTAGCCCCCAACAGGCCATCAAAACCAAAAGGCTCCTCTCGTGAACGATTTGTCACTTTGGGAACGTTCCGTACGGGAACCAGCCACCACGGTAATGCACGGTAATATTTGGGTGGGAACTGGCCACCACGGAACGTTCCATACGGGAACCAGCAACCACGGTAATGCACGGTAATATTTGGGTGGGAATTGGCCACCGCGGGAATTCCCGTACGGGAACCAGCAACCACGGGAATTGGTTGGGTGGGAACTGGCCACCACGGTAATGCACGGTAACGTTGGATGGTAGCACCCCCCCCACACGGCGAAGTACAGGGTTCCTTGTCAGTGCGTGTGACACCCAAATATTGTGTCACAAGAAGAAAACAAAACCACAAAGGAGTGAACCTGTAAAGTGTGTTTTCTTCTCTTGTTCAATTGTTTGGAGATTACAGGCGAAATATCTCTGCGCTCCTTGTCAAATTACCAAAAGACGAAAGACGACGAACTATTTCCCGCTCATCACCCTCTTGTGTGTCTATAGCAGTTCACACTCTTGGTGTTGTGTTTGTGTTTCGCCCTCCGCGGGCGGGTGTGTTAACAAAAGGGTTCTCTTTTTCGTTGAAAAGGTTCTCTTTTCGTTTGACAGAATAAAAAAAAAAGGGGAAAAAAAAAGAAGGGAGAGACAGAGAATCGAACCCCCGACCTGCCACCCGCCTGAGGATTATATGCAACCCTCTAAGCTACCTTGCTCCACGGTATTGAAGTACATATATACATGACGGGAATTGGTTTAACATTCCCGTACGGTATTGGCAATTGAATTTGTGCACGGTATTTGTATGGGTGGGAACCAAAAGCCACGGGAATTCGACTTTTTCCACGGTATTTGGTTGGGTGGGAACAACGGGATATGATCTCCGTGGTAACGGTTTGGATGGGAATGGGAAGCGGTCATTTGCTTGGTAACGGTTTGGATGGGAATGGGAATTGCGATTTATCACGGGAACGCTCCCATTTCCCATTCCCGTGGAAATACCGCGGTATTTTTCCCGCGGGAATATTCCCGAGAATCCTTGAAAAAAATTCAGAATTCGGGTCCAGACGCCTCCCGTCATTTCTCGGGAATCAGGGGACGGGCTCTTCCAAAAAGCGGCGCAAATTGAAGCTCTCTTCAGCAGCTTCGCGTGCATATGCGTGTCACTGCGATCGGCTGCAGCAGCGAGGAGCTACGCACGTTGCTAGATTTCCCCAGATCGGCTATGCCTGCCCGAAACTACTTCAGGGCGCCGTCGCCTGGCGCGGTAGGCCCTCCCGTAGCTTCTGCTCCTCGGTGTAGCTCCACAACGCGAGACACCCGCAGGATGATCCGGGTATCGGCTTGTATGTAGCTATGGGCAAGCCCTTCAATTCAAGCCGCACAGCAAGCTCTACCTCTCAGCAGTAGACAAGCTACATCGTGTCGCACGATCTCGCTCTCAATCAGATACTTCGCTCTCAATCGTGCGAATATGTTGTTAAATGTGTTCGACGTCAACAAACGGTTGCCAGTAGTCTCGGCGATGCTGACTTTTCATACCACACCGTTCCTTAGCAAAATATGCGTAGTTTGAGGTATAGTAGCATGCCTCCATTGGCCACGGGGATGGGGAGCTATCGTCCCCTGAATTTTAAGGACGTAACCCCGCATTAAGGATGTTTTTTTTCGAGAAAAACCATGTGCGTCCCTAAAGCGGGGTCGACTGACAATTACAACCATCCAGGATCACACAGGCGGGGGTAAACACCGGGACTTACTGCGGCGCCTGCTGAATTGTTAATTGTTATTTTTTGCGAAGAGCGGTCCTGTAGGGGTGCTTTTTGTTTGTTTGGCACAAAAACAATGTGTAGAGGGATTGTGACGTGCACATGTATGCATATGTATGTATGTATGTGCGAACAAATAGAGAACTTTGCCATAGGGGGAGGACATACACGGTGATCACGTCCGACCGTCTGCCTGTCTGTGACTAAACAACGCAGACTGGAGCCCACTTCACCATGTAGCCACCAAATTGCAATTGAAGACTTGCGCACAACACCCGAGGTGTTCCAACTGCTACCGTTTCAATCCGTGGTCGGTGCGTCGAGATAGCACAGCATCTGATCTGTGGAACCACCTCTAGCTGACGGGAAATACCACCCCCCCGGTGTTAGCCATCGGGATTGGGCTTTCGTCGATAGNATTGTGACGTGCACATGTATGCATATGTATGTATGTATGTGCGAACAAACAGAGAACTTTGCCATAGGGGGAGGACATACACGGTGATCACGTCCGATCGTCTGCCTGTCTGCGACTAAACAACGCAGACTGGTGCCCACTTCACCATGTAGCCACCAAATTGCAATTGAAGACTTGCGCACAACACCCGAGGTGTTCCAACTGCTACCGTTTCAATCCGTGGTCGGTGCGTCGAGATAGCACAGCATCTGATCTGTGGAACCACCTCTAGCTGACGGGAAATACCACCCCCCCGGTGTTAGCCATCGGGATTGGGCTTTCGTCGATAGGCAACGACGTTGTAAAACAAGCCAATTCGCTTCGTGAACTCGGGCAACCAGGTTACCGTTTTTTTTACCTCTGTTTTTTTTGGCTGTTAACCATAATGGTGGTCGAGTGGATCATGTTGTGCGGGGTGGAGAAGCCTCACTCCGCGCCAGGGGGATGGTCAAGCACCCTCGAGACAGTTACACAGTGCTTATCACTGTCTACGGAAGTGAAAGCACCAGTTAAGTCATACGCAGCTGTCATCCGCACGCAAGGAAGAAAGCACAAGATGCCGAACACCCTTAGCAGGATGCAGCGCACCCTTCATGCTACTCGCCGATTATCTCACGGCGCTTCGCGCTTGGTGATGTGAGAGCCTCGTCCGGTGAGAACCCGTCGTGCTCCGTCCCGGCTTTGTAGGAATGCGAGGTCAATGGTCTAGCGACNTCATGTTGTGCGGGGTGGAGAAGCCTCACTCCGCGCAAGGGGGATGGTCAAGCACCCTCGAGACAGTTACACAGTGCTTATTACTGTCTCTGGAAGTGGACGCACCAGAAAATAAATTAAGTCATACGCAGCGGTCATCCGTACGCAAGAAATAAGCAAGATGCCGAACACGCTTAGCAGGATGCAGCGCACCCTTCATGCAACTCGCCGAATACCTTACGGCGTTTCGCGCTTGGTGATGTAAGAGCCTAGTCCGGTGAGAACCCGGCGTGCTCCGTCCAGGCTTTGTAGGGATGCGAGGTCAATGGTCTAACGACTACGGCATTCACGACTATGAGTACCCCCCCCCCTCTCTCGCAGTAATTTGAAAGCATCCCACTTCAAACAAAAACACCGAGATAGTCTCCGAAATAGATAAGGAGGGAGACGACAAGGCACGANCGACTATGAGTACCCCCCCCCTCTCTCGCAGTAATTTGAAAGCATCCCACTTCAAACAAACACACCGAGATAGTCTCCAAAATAGATAAGGAGGGAGACGACAAGGCACAAAGGGTGGAGAAGGAGAGAATGGAAAAGTGCAGTACTGGTAGTGTTGATATTTGGGGTCAATAACGACATGGCAAGGTTGGAGTTCAAAAGTATTTGTGAAGAAGTAAGATTATGTTGCTTCGCCGGGGAGGGGGGTAGAATGGGAAGGAAACCACTTTAGAATCACGTTTGGAAGGAGAGTAAGCGCAGAATGGGAAAGACTGGAGGTAGAGAAGATGTCGGCGTGGGTGAGGAGACTAGGTTGGAGGGTGTGCATAGCAAATAGGATCCAGGAAGTAAGGCGTAGCCCAAGGCTGGCTGAAAGCAAAGGGGGGCAGGAGGTTCGAAAGGATCAAAAGGGAAATCAAGCCAAAGTAGGGGAAGGGGGGAGCAGCGAAAGGCAGAAGGGAAGGCGAACGAGGGACAGAAGGAATCCTGAAAGGCACGGGAAAGTAGAAAGTAGGAGTAAGGAAATCAGACTAGGGTCTTGGAATGTATGCGGGTTTGCCACAGATGAGCATAAAAGACATTGCCGAGCAAGCAGCCGAAAAAGACCTGGACATAGTCGGAGTGAGTCGTGGGAGAATGACGGGCGAGAATTAAGTGGGAAGCTACACATGGATAGGTAAAATGAGGAGAGGACAGAAAATCAATAGTAGGAGGGGGGAGTTGGATTCTTAGTCAAGGAGCACATGTGCGACGTAATTGAGGGGATCAGCGACACCAAATTCAACGAAAGCATGTGGATAAGGGTACCAGGGGAACGGGGAAGGAAGGACTTGTTCGTAGGAAATGTATATATACCACCAGAGTCGAAGAATATGGTGAAGGACATCAAGATAGGGTTCGAGGAGGTAGCAGCGGATGTACAAA